CCACAGAAGAGAAGCTGCTTGAGAGCTGAGAGCAAGAGCAGAACTGGGCATGAGCACAGACTCCCCGGCAGCAGAGAACCAAGTGGGGAGACCCGGGCCCAGCCTGCCTTCCTGAGGCCCCTCCAGCCGGGTGAGCCGTGCCCTGCCGACTCCCAGCCCTCGTCCCTGCTCTGCTGTCCGGGGCTGCTTCCCAGAGTCAGCGGTGAGGGGTCAGGGTGATGCTAGGAAAGGGGTGAGGAGGGCTGCCCAGGGATTGCATGCAGCAGTTCCGCTGCAAAGCCTGAGTGCCTGCCGGAGACGAGGGCCTCCAGGGTGGGCGTCGTCAAAGCAGGGAAAGGGGAAGAGCTGGGAGGAGGCGCTTATGGGCAGAGGAGAGAGGAAGCCCAAGAGATGGAGGTGGAAGTGAATTACAGGCGCAGGGTGGCTGCTTCCGTCGGAATCGTCGTCTTCCGTGGAATCCTCGTCCGGGTCCGAGAGCAGCGAGGATGCTAGGGTGGCCGTGAGAGAGGACAAAGGGGAGTTAGTGCAGCTGACGACCCACGGCCTGCTGCTCTGGGGATGCTGGGCTCTGCCCTCAGTGGGGTGGGTCCCTAGCTCCGAGTCCTCCCTGGCCTTGGTCGCTTGATCTCCGCAGGGTTCGGGAGGGGGGGGCTGGGGGGCTCTCTGGTTGCCCACCTGCTCTTCCCACCTCCGATTCCCTCCAAGACCCGGAAGCCCGTCTGTGTGATCCTCCCCCCGCTGGAGGCCGTCACTGTCCCTCAGACTGCCTCTGCGTGACTTTGTCCTTCTCCGTCCTTGTTCCTGTCCCTCCCTGCTCTCCTTCCTCCTGCTCCTCCTCCCCTAGAGATGCTCCATGTCCTTCCCCCTGCCCAGCTGCACCCATCCTATTGTTGTCCAGGAGGGGGCAACCAAGGAAAGAGAGGAGATGTCCTGGGTCCCCCGGAATCGGTCCCCTGATCCGTCTGTGCTGGGAGCAGCTGTGATGGGTGTGGCATTGCTGAGGACGTGCAGGGAGAGATGGCCCAGCACCTCCCCACAGCCCATGTCTGCCCAGGGACTGAGATGACCTTCCCAGGGACGTGTTTCAGGGAACGCAACGCCCTCTGTTTCCTTAAGTGTTACAGAGGTTGAATGGAGACGGAAGCACTGGAAATTGTGCAGGTGCCCCCAGCTGTTCAGGGCAGCCCTGGAAAACGTCTAGCGGTGTGGTCACTGAAACACAGGATTCCTGGCAGTGCTCCTGCGGAGGCTTGCAGGGAGTGGACGGGGTAGGGGTGTGTGTAGGGCCCTGGGCAGGCCTGAGGAACGTTTGCCGTTTGGGCGTGCCTGGGGAGTGGGGAGCATGGCCAGGGCTGTGTGCCGGCGAGGTGGGTTTGTGAGAGGAGCCGTGACTCCCTGGCCCTGCTCCCAAGAGGCTCTGTGCTATGCCTCGACGCCAGCTGGTGAGAGGTAGAGCGGACCCGGGGCAGCAAGTGTGTGAAGCGGGTCCAGCAGCCCCTTCACACAGGCCTGGGGGACCGTGGCCCGCGCCAGGGGGTCTCCGGGGCAGCTGCATGGGGGCGTCCTTCCCTTGGGAACACGTCCACAGGTCAGACTCGGCTGGGGTGTGAAGGCGGGCCTCCAGGAGCTACGATTTACGGGAGCCGGTGTAGTGACCCCAGGGGAAGTACGCTTTCCCTTCTGCAGCTCTGGGCGTCCCCTTGAAGGTACAGCAGCTTGGAGAGAACCAGGACGGTTTGGTAGTGGAGGTTATGAGGGAGAGAGTTGAGACCTGTCTTCCACCTCCTGGCTCACACCAGAACGTAGTGTCCCGGTTCTCTTGCCCAGGAGAGGGTGGTCGGGGCCGCCAAGTCCTGAGCATGACCAGGTCTGGGCCCGTGCCAGGAAAGATCCAGAATGTCGTGTGCACCATTCCCGAGAGGCCAGGAGCAAAGAGACCAAGCTTTGACATGCGGCAGCGGCCAAGGGAGGCACGAGCAGGTTTGATGGGAAAGATCCTTAAAGGAGCCGCGCAAGGAGTCGAGGTGGTGATGACAAACCCAGCCTACCCTAAAGGCCCGTGGACACCTTGTCTGCTCTTTTCCCTTCAGAAACCGTGAAATGAGCAAATCGTGCCTGTGCCAGAGCATCCCTTTGCTTGGTGGCTTTTGACCCACCTTCTTCATTTCTCCAGAGCGGCAGGGGCAACCCCAGGTTCCCGGGAAGCCTGTCCCACTGTTCCCTTCCTCGGTGCCGTTCCCTACCTGAAGAGACTTCGTCCTCACTGTGGGAGTCGTCGATGCTCTCCACACGCAGATCTGTAGGAACCGAAAGAGGAGCAATGCCGTTAGGAGAGAAACTGCCTCACCCCTTCCTCCCAGGTGCGCTGAGGTGTCTCTGGGCCATGCAGCGTCTGCCTGACCCTTTTGCTGCGCTGTCAGAGGTTCACGGGGCTGGTGTGGAGCCGGAGCCCTCGGAGGAGACAGGGACTGGAGTTTCATCCCTTCTGATGAGACCAGGATGCTGCCGCAGTCACCTCAGTGTCAGTTCTGCACGCCCATGACCGCGGCCCCCTCCCAGCGCAACCATCGGAAACTCCAGTCGTTACGGGCCTCTTGACGTGTGGCTAGTGGGAGTGAGCAGCCGGACGTTTTCGTTCCCTTGATGATTTCCGTACCCTGCACTGAGATAATAAATGACTGTGTGCGGCGGATACTAGACAGACTCTTTCCTGGATCGCTCAGCACTAGAAGCCAACCGGGAGCGAGAGACAAGGCCTGCTCTCCCGCGTATTGCTCGGGCATCCGTGGCTGGTCTGACAAGGGACGTTGATAGGGAAGACGTTCCCGGGCTCACGCACGCCCACCGGGCGCTGCTGGGGGACTTTGGACCCGAAGGGATTAAGGTGAAGCCCCAGTTCCTAGAATAAATGGGGACCAGATTCCATGCAGCACTGACCAGAAGCACAATGTGATGCTCTCGGAACAGAGAAGCCGCTAGAATAGATAAGGGACCCACAAAGGAACACAACGAGCCACAACGTTTCTGAATGTGAAGAAGTCGGGGGTGGGTCCCTAGAAGCTGACCTTCCAATACCTTGGATGACTCCTCTGAGCCAACAGGATGGTGCTGGCATACAGATAGGCAGGGCACCTGGGAGCGGAAGAGAAATGCCCAAAGAAATGCGCTCGTGTTGGCATCACGATGCTTGACAAGAGGACCGCCTAGAAAACGCATCCTCTTCTGAAACAGCGAACAGAGAGGAAAGGCAGCCCACACAGATTGGAGACACCGTTGGCAATCCTTATTTCAGAAAAGGTGTGTTCACGGACAAAAAGGAAAAACAGCCAAGAAAACCAACCAAACAAAAGAAGACCAGGATTTCACCAAATGAAAGACTCGGGAAGAAGACAGGAATAGTCTGTGCTGTAAAGGGAACGAATGACTCGGCCAGTCAAGCGGACGTCGTACGAAAAGACGGTCCACGTGAGGCATCGTGAGGGCAATGCGAATCCAAAGGACACCGAGCTGTGGCATTGTCAGTTAGGGTAGCGAGGTCCCAAAGCAGGAATTCAAACCCAAAACCCATGTTGGAAGGATGCAGAAAATTGGAGACTTGGTATGCAATTCGTGGAATGCAGACCGGTGCAACCACCCTGGAAAAGCCTGTTGAGTGTTCTCAGAGAGCCGCGAAAGGTACTCCTGTGGATCCCGCACACGCGAGTGAGGAAAAGGGATGTCGGAAAATCAGATTCTGTTCCAGTACGTGTTTCTCCTGAGAGAAAGTCTTGTTGGCTGCCAAAGAACCCTGAAACCCTGATTTGGCTCTGTTTCCATTCCCAGGCACTGAACTCCCTTGAGTTGTCTATTGGCCCAAATCTTCCGAATCTAAGAAGGCCCTCTTGCACGGACAGATGGGCAGCGAAATGGGTGGTGATTGTCCTGTCCCACCTGTGGAGGTTTGAGGTTCTCTTTGGCCACCTTGCAATGCACAGAGCCCCCTTCGTTCCTGCATGGAGGGGGCCCAGGTCCCCCCAGTGAGGCTCAGTCCCCGAAGACGACCGCATTCTCCCTTGGATAGGACACCTTTCGGTCCCACCTCCGAGAGACCCAGGGAGGACCAGTGGTGGGTGTGGGATTTCCCCTGGGAGAAGGCCAGTTGCATTCTTAGACACAGTATCTGCAGGGAAATGGTAGATCTCCATGGAGAAAGACGGAGTGAATGGGCCCCACTGCCCCTTTGTGCGGGTCCTCCCCGAACGGGCTGTTGCACGAGGCTGCCCCGGAAGCCGCCTGCAGAAGGGAGGAGTGTGTCCCAGCGCTCAGTGCTTCTGGTGAGGTTGGGAAGACGCGTCGTGGGGCCCCTGATGCAGAGACGTGTGTGTGAGTGTAGTGTCCAGAGGGAGGTGCTGGGACCATTCGTGCCCGAGACCTACCTTGGCGGGACAGCCCCAGCCTGGACACTGACTCCGTAACAGGGATTGGAAAAGACACACTTGTGTCTTTGGGGCACAGTCTAGCCCTTCCTAGTTAGCGACGGGATTTGTTTTCTGGGGGAATTGATGTGTATTTGCAAGGAAAGAACACCTCTTTCGATTGTAGGTGTTGAAGAGTTTTCCCATGAATGGACGTGCATGACGTGACCGTGATGGGAAACTTCCCTGAGAACGTGGACACCATTAATCGCCATTTTGAGGGGACCGGACACGTTGGAGAACATAGCATTCACCCACCTGACACACACGCACCAACCCTGAGAATCACGGCGCGTGGATTCCCATGGAAACACACCTCGTGCCCAGCACCCAGTCCTGCAGCACCTAAGAGCAGCACGGTAGCTTCCGGGGTCAGGGTCACGAGGCCTCGGGTCTCGGTCCGGAGCGTGACCCTTAGTCTCGTTGCAACAGGTTCTGGATTCTGGGTGGCTCTCAAGATGGAGCCTGCAAGGAAGCCCCACCTTGCCCATTGTCCAGGTTGCTCCAAGCCAATGAGTGACTCTAGAGGACAGCATACTTACCACTCTCCCTTCCCAGCAGGGCCACCTGCGATTTCTGAAAAGAAAACATGGTGAACATCAAGTCCTGCCTCGTCCTGTGTGCACAGCTCTTTTGTTCTCTTGGTGAGGGGCAGGGTCATGGGCAGTGATACGGAATCCACCTAGAGGTTGCATGGCCTGGGTCCATTGGGTGGCGAGGCGGTGTCAGTAGCACCCGTGAACAAGCTCACGACCCTGTGGACTGTAACCGAACCCTGCTGCTGTTTCCTGCAGGGTCTTTGGAATGGGGTCTCCGTGGCTAAGAGACGCTCCCTCAATAATCTCCCCACCAAGGACATGGTCCGTGCTGAGGTGTTCGGATCTGATTGCGAGTATAAGAGAAACAAGGGATGCTGTACCTCACCTGAAGAAAGGCTAACTTACCACCTTGGTGAAAAATGGGGCCTCTCCCGCTGTGCTGTCCACGTCAAGGCCATCGTACAGGCTAGCCAGGGGATCTAGGTGGATACACACAGAGAGTGTCGGGACCCCGACGGGACTCTTCGGGAACCGCTCAGGGAGCTTTGCTTGGCGTGCACGTGCGGACAAGTGTGTGGAGGTGGGGAGCTCATCAGTATGGACTGAGCTGTAGTGGGCCCTTCCCGGGTGGAGGATGAAAGGTCCTGGAGAGGAGCAGGGACGTGAATAGAAACTCTGCCTCCCGTTGGAGCTACAGGGCCTGGAGTAGCTGTGAAATAAATAGTCCATCTCCAAGGCACACCTACTGCCTGCCCCCAAACCTGCACCACCTAAGAGCAGCGCCGTAGTTTCCGGGGACAGGGCCATGAGGCCACGGGTCTTTCCCCAGAAACTCCCTTTCTGTTACTCCGACCCTTTCTTCTCAGTCCCGCCGGACCTGGAATCGGGGTGGTTCTCATCGTGGAGCCTGCGAGGAGGCCCCACCTCTCCCCTTTTCCAGGTTGTTGCAAACAAGTGAGTGACGCTGGAGGACAGAATACTTACCGCCGTCCCCTTCCCGCAGGGACACCTGTGATTTCAGAAAAGAAAACAGTATGAACATCCAACCAGGCTTTGTCCTGTTTGCATGGCTCTTTTGTTCCCTGGGGCCTGGGAGGAAGCCAGGTGGGGAAGTGTGCTAGAGGCCCGTGAGCCCCAAAGTAGGAAGAGAGCAAAAGGAGTCCTCCACGGATGGCGCCCAGTCGTCCTAGAGGCCCCACGTTCCGGGTCCCACCGGACAAAATAGGTGGCAAGGAGGAATAGCTGCTACCCGTACCCAAGCTCCCTGCCCTCCAGATGGTAGGTGATCCTGCTGTGGCTGTCCCCGCCCCCCTGCAATGCCTTCGGGATTAGGTAGCACTTGGTAACAGATTCTCACTCAAACTTCTCCCTACCCTGTCAATTGTGCATGCTGAGATTTTTTTTTTTTTTTTTACGTGACCTTGATGAAAAAAAGCCAGAAGACTTCTGTGTCTCCCACAAAGAAAGGCCAACGTACCACCCTGGTGAAAAATGGGGCGTCTTCCTCTGTCGTTCCTGTCGAACGTTCACCCGTCTGTCCATGCAGCCAAGCTAGGGAGAGATCCACAGAACGGTCAGTCCACTGGTGGGGCTCGGCAGGAAGAGCTCAGGGAGTTCAGCTTGGGGTGGGCGTGCCCGGGAGTGTATGGCGACGTTGGGTTCCGTGGGTACGGACTGAGCAAGGTGCCGCTGCATCAAGAGAGGTCAGGGCCAGGAGCAGGAACGGAGAGAGAAACGTTGACTGTGACCTTGAGCTACAGGGAATGGAATCAGGGTGACCTCTTCAACCCGAAAGAGGGTAAACACTAAGATACACGCTCCGTTGTACTGACAGGCGAGTTCCTCCAACCAGCGACTGGGTCGTGGTCATTGTCAAGACCGTTTCTTGGCCGCTCCCACCTCTCTCTCTCCCCTCTTCTAGGAGATTGTCTTTCTGCAGAAGAACACTGTGTGGCAGGGTTGCGTTCACTGGGAGCGCAAGTAGCCTAGAGGTTTCTGTTTGTTCCTGAGTCATGCAGGGTCAGGAAAACCAAAGACCCAGGATTTCTACGTACTGACATCTGACCATTCCAACAGAGTCCCCATCCACAAAGTGCTGATTCTTCCCAGTCTTCCTTTCCTGTGGCATGTGGGTGTGTCCTTGGAGCCCGCGGGACCCAGTTTGCCAGGACCCAGCTCCCCCAGTCAGGAACCGGCAAGTTCACGAGAGAGCGGAGGCCAGGCGAGAGAAGGGCACTCTCTAACCTGGCCATGTAGCAGATGGTCAGGAAGTGTGATCGGGCCCCAAGCTAATGATGCAGCTCTCCTGGCCGTTGCCATCTGCCAGTGAGCCTTCCCCCTGTGCATTCAAGATGGGAGCGTTTTTGTAAGGCCGGTGATGATGTCTTGGTCGACTAAAGTAGCTTCTGATTCCGTTGTGTTTTGACCCTGTCTGAGAAACGTCCCCAGCTAGGACAGATGTGGGCCCCTTCCTTTCTCCCCATCCCTGTCTGAGGAAAGGGAATCCTGAGCAACCCTCCAGGTGGAGCTGTGTTGAGCGAGGAATGTGGTGTCTTAGGGGGGTGGGCGCAGCGGGGATGAAGGAGGTTTGGCTTTGAAACTTTGACCCGGGCCCTCAACTCCATGCAGCGGGAGATGTCTTCTGATGAAACGCACGCACTCAACACACCCGACATGCCCGGTCCCGTCGCATCGACCCACGCAAAAACAAGCCCCAACCCTCAGATGCACCAAGCACACCGCCCGAATGACCTACTGGTTTGCAGGGACTGGAGCACAGGGTCCTGGTTTTCTACAGGACACTCGGTTGGTTCAGTCCGCCCCAGCCTCCGTTCCCGGGAGGAACTCAGAATGGGGGAAGCTTTCCAGCTCCAGACCAAAGGAGGAGAGAAAGCCCTACCTTGTTCTTCCGCTAGATCTGTCCCCTTAAAGTGAGTGATGGGGGAATACCCACATGGGACATATCCGGTTGCCGCCTCCTGCAGTTGGAGAAAGGGAAACCCAGTGAGGATCCCAGCACCCTGTGCACACCGTGTGCACACATCTCTGTGCCCTTGGTGTCGTAAGCCAGCTAGATGGGATGCAGTCATTGCGTCTGTGATCCGGAGAAGGAGAAAATGACCTCCAGAAGAGGCTCCGGCTTGGAATGTCAAAACTCCCCCGTCCATGTTCTTCGGCGACTCATTCCAAAGCCATTTCCCACAGACAGAATGACCTGGTGGAAAATGCTCACGGCCACCCATTGCCTAAGCAGCGGTGGTGATGTTTTCTCAGTGCCCGTCTCAATCCGGTGTCCGTTAACGGTATAAACTCACGGCAGGCTCTCAGCACCAAGGACATTGACTCTCCCCTGTGGCACGTCCATGCTCAGGTGTTCATGGAAAGAGAAATCAAACCCTGGTTGTCCCTCAGAAGCACAGAATGACTTCACCGAGGTGACGGAGCGGCTCAGACCTTGAAGCTTCTGCCTTCAGCTCAGGACCTGACCCTAGGGTCCTGGGATGGAGCCCCACATTGGGCACCCTGCTCAAAAGGGGAGCCTGCTTCTTCGTCTCCCTCTGCTACGCCCCCTGCGTGCGCTCTCGCGCGCTCTCTGTCTCTCTCTCCTTCTCTGTGTTTCTGTCTTTCAAATAAATAAAATCTGGAGGAAAGAGGAGTTTACCTGAGGGAGAGTCGGAGTTTCTTCCTCGGCCCTCCAAATGGGTAGCTCTTCCGTGAGGTCCTCGCGGGGAGCTAGGAGGGTAGAGAGGCACTGTGAGGACACTGGTGTGGCTGCCCAGGAAGTAGGCAGGGAGTTTGGGTGGATGAGGACAGGAGGCGAGTGTGTGCGTGCGGGTGCGTAGGAGGTACGGGCCGCACTGCTGCCGGGCCTTGTCCTTGGTGCAGAGAGGAAGGGACGGGAGAGGAGCAGGGAGGAGACGCGACGAGGGTGTTTGTCTTTCTAGCTAAAGCGAGCCCGATCAAAGCCAAATGGTCAGTCCAGTACATGTGAAGCCTACCCTGGCTTCTGTGTGAGGACCGAGTCCCATAAGCTCTCCTGACCGATGTGCCACTAAGGGGTCCCACGCTGCTTCTTTGGAAATCAGCTCTGGGCCCAAGATCCCCATATGCTGTGACTATATGCATCGCGTCTCTGTATGATTTTGCACGGCATAAAAAGCAGCCTTGCTTGCCGGGCTGAATTCAACCGTCCGAAAAGAAGCCTAGTAGTTTGCTTCGCTCATCCTTTCTTTGTCTTCAGAAAATCCCACGTGCAACGCTGGAGAGCTCGGACATCGTAGCTTCCGTAAACAGCCGGCACCGTCGATGCGTTTGATCGATTCCTTGCACTATTCTTGAGCTGTCCCGTGTGTGTGTGTGTGTGTGTGTGTGTGTGTGTGTGTTTCCCCTGAAGACAGTGGCTGTCCGAACCCTCCCAGGTGTTCTGACCAGTGGGGAGTTCCTTACGCAGAGGAGTCTTGGAGTGTGTGCTGATAGGCTGTAGGCCTGCTTTGCGGGAGATTTGCCCCGGGGGTGTTGGGTCCAAGCTTCCACCCAAGCTTGACCTTGATTTCCTTTTGGCCAGTGGTGTGTGAGTGCGTGCTTAGACAGTTTGAACCTTCCTGAGGCTTAGGGAAGTCTTATCAAGTACAGTCCGTTCCCTCCGTGATGCTTTTCTGCCATTGGTCGTGCGTGCACACTGAGACCGGCTATGACCGATGTTGCCCTGTTCTGTCCTCCACGGGTCCACACCCTTTCCAGCCATGTGGGCTTGAGCCCGAGGATGTGGCTTTTCTCTGTGCACTTGACTCCAGGGACCAGGCTGTAATCTTGAACGTGGGCTTCTAACCTTGCCCTGGCTTCTGTGTCCTTGGAAGCCACTGTGTCCTGTTGGGTCCTGTCGGGGACCATCATAGAATCTAGGTTTGTGGCTGTGTGCACAGAGGCTGGTGGCCCTTTTGCTCGCTAACACCCATGGTACATCACGAGCCCCTGGCTGAGGTGCGTAGGCCAGAGCAACTTTCAGATTGGAACCTGAGCTCCAATCTTGGCTTTCCAAGTAGGAGGTCAAGGGTTTGGATCCTTCATCTCTGCACCATGCCCGTCTCAGGAAAGCAAAGGGAAACGTCCTCCAGGTACAGCTGTCCTGAGCACGGGAAGGAGTACGTGAAGTGTGCCAGGGTGATGAGAGTGTTTTTGGAAGGGTGACACTGTGATTGTGATGGAAGTGTGAGAAAGATCTCCTGGGAAAGGCACACAGTCGTGTTCACAGGCATCACACATGGACACACACACAGACGCACGCCCACACGCACCCACGCCCACAGGGCCTTCATCGCACGTGCACACAGATCTCCCCTTCCCTATGTACGAGTTCTTCCAGGCCCTATTCGACGTGGTGACCGTGCCTCCCTGGACAGTCTGGGTCAGTATCCCCCAACCCCCGTTCCTTGTTGGAACCCAGAATCAGGGGGCAGGCTTCTTTGTACTCTAGATTTCCTCCCAGCGCCCGAGGTTCTTAAAGACGTACAGCTGTCGTTGCTCCCGGCGTCTACCTGCGACTGGGGAAAAGGAAACCCAGTGAGGATCCCAGCATCCTGTCGGCTGTCGGTCTGGGGAGGACTTCAGGCAGTTAATTGGATGAGGTCCCGTGGTGGAGTCCATGTCCCCCCACCCGAGTTCAAGAGGACTGGGATCAAGGAGAAGGCTTTTCTGCTGAAGAAGGTGTTTGATCCCATGGAGTTTGTAACTGAGGCTGTCCTGTGTCATCGCCCTTTTTGGGTCCACTGTGCGTAAGAGGTCGGACCCAGCATTCTTCCACGAGGGGAGACTGCTGCCCGCTTCCCCTGGGAGGTAAGGTGCCAGATGTTCATCAAACTCCATTGATGGAAGAACTCAAGGAAGTACCATTTCTGTCTCTGAGAAAGAGAGGCGAGCTTACCTCAGGGAGAGTTGGGGCGCCTTCCTCTGTCCAGGCCCTAGGAAGGTCCTTGGACTGGCCCTCCGCAGGGTCTAGGAGAACAGAGAGGAG